GAAAAATGGCAGTTAGTTCGGGAAATTGAGCTGATGAAGGAAGTCGGAACACACCGTAATATTGTGAGCATGCTCGGCTACTGGATCCAATCACCTCCCATTATGTTAATCATGGAATATGTTCCAAACGGAGATCTTCTTCAGTGGCTCAGAAACAAAAGGCAACAGGTATCATTACTGTCTAAACTGTATCAATAAAAATTTGCTGCCCTCTTTTTTACCTGGCAGGCTCTCCATTCGCAATAGTGCTGCGCTTAGGTATTATTTATAGAACTGAAAATGCAGACAAACAAATTCCTCAATTTTGTTTGTCTTTTTGTCAATGAAATGTCAAGTTTGTCTGACTTTTGTCATGAAATAACAAAAAAAGCATACATGAGACAAACATTGCAATTTGGTCACTCTGACGTCATTAGTATTCTGTGCGGCACTTTAATTTTCTAATGATCATCCTGCTGGGTGTGTATGTGTTTTTTTCTTACATTGTGTGGTCTCTTAAGGCAGAAGGAAGATCCTCTACCTCACCACGCGTCTAAAAACCATCGTCTTCAGTAAAAATAATAAGATGCTAAACAACTTGATGTGAGAATTTGTACATGTTACCTATAATTTAAGTTCTCAAAGACAGCGGTGCACTAAAAATGTAGATATGAATGCAACCGGATATTCGTATTTTTCCAAACGCGGTTTATACAGCCAGACTGTTTAGATGCTTTTCATGTAATCGGAAAACAAAGATCGGTAAATACACAAAAATATGAGTTCATAAAGTCAATAAAGTCAAGCTTGCCCCGGCAGGATCAGTTAAGGCTTCCCGGAAACTGCCCACCTATCCCTCCCCTAAGCCACATTTTGCCTAAGTGAAAAGGTTGTGTTGTTGTTGCCTTAAGGGAGGGGTAGGTGGTCAGAAGAGGAAAAAAAAATGCTTGACGTTTTGAGCGTTTCCACCAGGGGGTACTCCCACCCGATAGGATGAGGCTCTCCATCGTTAAATATAGCATCCTTGTTGCCCTTATTAGCGCAGTGTTGCTGACGTGATCCTTAGATAGGGTACCGTTATTCTATCAGGTAAAATTCACGTGCGTCAATGCCTAACACACGAGAAACAAATCATAGATCTGTTAAAACTGAACTTTACCCCAGAGCTGATTAGGAGAGCGATTTAAGGAATTTTTTTTTCTGTTTCCACTGATTCTTAGGTCTTGTTTTTCCCTTGAACTGGGCTTCATTTTCCATGTTTGGGTCTTTAATAGGATATTGGTTATCGCTTGTCTCAACTATTCGAAATTTTTGAGAGTACCCCCCTCTCCCCAGGTGGGCGTTAACCTTTTCTGGTCAGCATGAATCACGGGATTACTAATTGTGGAGCTACGCTATTGTTTGAACATGGTAAGAAGACAAGAATAGTTTACTTCAACGAACGCTTTTGATTCTGGTAATTTACTTATTTTTTTCTCATTTTCCCATGTATTCACCCAGGAAAGAATGAGCTAAGAGAGCGAATCCCTCAGTGACCCATGATAATTTTTTCAATCTAAATAAAGTTCGCGCGCGTGCTGCGAAGGTTATTTTTGTCTGTTGCTTCCGTGACCCGCGTGGTCTACTTTCACGTGAACGTGACATGTTTCGCCGTCAAACATTTTAAGCTTGACAGCCATTATAGTAATTAGCGCCAGGAGCCGATACTAATCGGCTCATGTTGTTGACATGTTTTTCATCAGCTCGTTCCGCTCATAATTTAGGAATGGATTTCATTTACAAAGGGATTGCTGTATTGGAGTCAAAATTTCACTTTGAGATTAAAGATTGAGATTTTCTAACGGCTGGTAGCCTCATTCAAAGTAACAAATATTGAATTCAGACACACTGTGAAAGCCAAAGGCAAAGGTTATCACGCGCGAAAACGAAGCCTTTAATAAGTGACTGGTTTTAATTGTTTATGCAAATTTCCAAGATATTTTTTCTCTTTTTTCCAGGAACATGTTTCGTTCCGAAACAGTACATTTGCTTTTAAGAATTATTCTTGAGAGTTTCAAACCGCATTACTTCTTCTTAACGTCTAATATTTGCGATGAATATTTCGCTTTGCGAACACAAATCCGGCCAGATGCTTCAAGCTGTTAAACAGTCGCTAACCTGCATGCCAGAGACTTTTGATACGCGGTTACCGGTTTCGGTCAATTCTTTATAGTGAGCGGGGTGCCCACATTTGTCCAGCGCCCCCTCAAAATTCAAATGTTTGGCGGCCAAACATTCATGTTTGAACCCACTTTGAACCTATTTTCTCGTTACGTGTCCACGGTTGGACCCAGACGACGGTATCACAGTTCGCGGGTGTGCGTAGATGTCGCCGGAAGAGACAGTTGTCGTTCTAATACAATAGGTTGTTGGTTGCTTATATATTGATATAGCGAAGACCTCAATAAGCAGTTTTCGTAGAGTCGGAACCGCTTTCTTCGGCCAACTCCCACAAGGCAGGACCATTTTGCTCTTCAGCAGCTACTCTGACCAGATTTTTCCACGGAGAAATCTTCTGACTCGTCGACGAAAGTAATACCAAGTTTGCATGTCATATTGCTTGCTGTGCGTGATCAGAAGTAAAATGAAATACCCGCCAAGTTTAAAATTACAGAACGCCACTCTAACCGACCAATAAGGTGGCGTCCTTAAAATAACCACGCATTATGACACAGACCAAGAATAGATTGAAAATAATTTTCATGGGAAGAGGGTCATGTATGGGGGATTCGCTCTCTTAGATCATTCTCTCTTGATTCACCATAGCTGAGCTCCGCCATTTGATAAACCGTCCTTGATTCAAGCTAACAAAGGGCTTCCACTCAAAATGCCCGTCAGCTTTTCGATCCACGGTCTTTCAATGGTGGCAAGATGAGTTATTCAAATCAACCCATAACACCAGTGAGAGTTTTGCTTTCCACCCTTCGACCGACGTAGTAGAAAAGTTTCTTTTTAAAAAACCCTTCAAAATATTTTGGTGGAGATAATGATTGTCCGTCCCGAAAGCCCTGTACGAGATATGACGTCACAAGTGGCATTAGGTCAAGGCAAATATTCAAAAGCACACGTCGCATTTTTGGGACTGTGTATCTTAAAATGTCACAGAAAATTGTAACAAAGCAGAAGAAAAGCTTTGTTTCTATTGAAGTTTAATTCGTTTGAGTTTTCCGTGGACGATTTAAAGAAAGTTGGCCCATAAGGTATTCCCGGCTAGATTTTCAGTTTAACGTCGGTTAAGTAATCTTTCAATTCACATGGATTCCTTTTAAATACTGGGTAAAAATATTTCGCCTACCCAACTGATAGTGTTGAAATTGTTTCTGCTGACAAAACCGTTTCATGATCAGACGGAATTCATTACAATATTTTTGCAGCTTACAATGAAAAAGAGTCGTGAAAGTGATGTCGTTGAAAGCCTTAAGCCTCCTGTTCCTGAGAGGCCGAAATTGGTGTCCAAGAACCTGCAAACAAAAGATGTCCTGGATGAAAACCTGAAAGAAAAGAACAGGGAAAGAAATAATAAAGGAAGTGGAAAAGACGGTGGTTACCATTCCAGCGGGACGAAGGAAATTAAAATCGACCTGGACGACGTTGAAAGAGGAATTTTAATCAACGATGCTCCTCGATCTGAGATGAAACCTTCTTGCTTAAACCTGGGTTACGAAGATGACAAGGAGGAAGAAGAAAGTGACGATGTCAACACGTCATTTCATCAAAATGAACGGCGAAAGTGGTCGGTTACGTCGGTGATGGTGTTACCTTCGATCAGTATTGCCCATTTTTCCAAAGAAAAAGAGCTCACTCCCGCTGAGCCTTTGAGAAACGTCGAAGAAAAGATCACCATCGAGAAAGAAGAAGGCAGCTGTGAGGGCAAGGAAGATGATGAAGAAGACCTTTCTGGGAAAGAAGTTCTTTGTTATGCGTGGCAGATTGCTAAGGGGATGGTAAGAACTTTTTCGACTGAAGAATGTCTTTAGCAATTTAGTCATCGTTTGCAAATCACAAAAATCTGCCTCTTCCCCGTATTTAAAATACTTTACTACTAGTTTTTTCTGTGTCTGCAAGTATTATGCTATCTGGACATGAGACGGCAGATTTTTCAAGCATTCAAATTGCTGCGTTAATTATAACAGATTATTATAGGGCTAACTACTATCTCGCTGAATTTTTCGTGAAACATAGCACACATAAAATTGAGCCGTTTGATTTTAAAGAAGGTCAAAAACGAGTTTTTTTATATCCCGAGAAGCCTAAAAGTCACATGGAGCCGTCGTGAAGGTACCTATTGAAAAATCAGGTCTGTTAGTATTTTCGAAAAGGTGTCCAATGAATACAGCCATGCGACCTGAATAAGGCTAAGCTATCAGTTATTTAATTTGAATCGTACAAGCCTGACATTCAGGAACGTTGCCAGCTTTTTGGCTAGTTGTAGGCCTGGCTGACTTTCATTTCCATATATCCTGAAAATTGTACGCATGACCAGTACACACTGACGTCACCAACACTTTGAGCTCTTGTGTTTTTTCAGCTGACTCCAACAACGCATAATTTATTACAAGCGGTAGAGTGATCAAACCAAAAATTTGAAGGCCCGGGCCTACAGGACTATGGGCTGGCTACGCCCCTGAGAAAAGAAGGGAAGTAGAGGAAAGAAAAAGTAATGGTTAAATTTGTTTTCGGGACTGGAAGACTGAACAGCAAGGACTTTCCAGGTAAATACTCCTGTAATCGGAATCTTGGAAAGCACAATAAACGGTCTGCAAGTGGAACTGATGATTGAAGCTAAGGGACTGCTTCTTGTAAACGGCCACCATGATGGTATTTGCTAACTATTGTAAGCTCAATTGATATATCTGGTGGCTCAGCTGTATATTTGGCTTTTGGGTTTAGCAAACAACACCCTCCAGGTGATCCGCATAACTCTGCCTCATCCAATAATTGCTGTTTATTCATTGGTATGAATGAACCTTTTTTAACGAAAAAATCTAATCTCTAAATGAATAATGTTCACTGAGGTATGCCGTTTTGGGTGACCTCGAAATAAAAATCAGCATTATAGTAAGAACCAATAGCTTTTTTTTCTTTTGGGGGCGTGGCAGTCTAAGGAGGACTTTATTCCACTCACCTTAAGTCTCCCTGAAAAATAGCATTTAATTAAGTGTCAACAGGTGTCAACGGGCTTTTTTCTGCGGTTGAAATCTTAACTGAAAACCTTATTTTTCAGCCAATATTCATATTCTAGTTATTGAGGGTTCGAGTTACCGACGGTAATTCACAGTAAAGGAAATCCAGGGGAAAACGATTCTGGTTCGAGTTAGCGAGGGTTCGAGCTGGAGTCGACTGTAGTTCACTTAGTTTGTTCAACTTTGACGGCTTTTTGTGCTGAAAAGTATACGTTGCGGGGATTTCTTGGCCAATTCCTTAATTTGTTTCTTGTTTTCCAACAGCTGTGACGGAAATCCTCCCTCCCTTCTTCATGATAGACCGAAGATCACTTCCTCCCGCTTTCCAGACCGTTTGCCAGGCACAGCGTGCAGTAGCCTGTTCCAGGCTCTCGATAGTAATTTCTGTTTCCACTGATTCTTAGGTCTTGTTTTTCCCTTGAACTGGGCTTCATTTTCCATGTTTGGGTCTTTAATAGGATATTGGTTATCGCTTGTCTCAACTATTCGAAATTTTTGAGAGTACCCCCCTCTCCCCAGGTGGGCGTTAACCTTTTCTGGTCAGCATGAATCACGGGATTACTAATTGTGGAGCTACGCTATTGTTTGAACATGGTAAGAAGACAAGAATAGTTTACTTCAACGAACGCTTTTGATTCTGGTAATTTACTTATTTTTTTCTCATTTTCCCATGTATTCACCCAGGAAAGAATGAGCTAAGAGAGCGAATCCCTCAGTGACCCATGATAATTTTTTCAATCTAAATAAAGTTCGCGCGCGTGCTGCGAAGGTTATTTTTGTCTGTTGCTTCCGTGACCCGCGTGGTCTACTTTCACGTGAACGTGACATGTTTCGCCGTCAAACATTTTAAGCTTGACAGCCATTATAGTAATTAGCGCCAGGAGCCGATACTAATCGGCTCATGTTGTTGACATGTTTTTCATCAGCTCGTTCCGCTCATAATTTAGGAATGGATTTCATTTACAAAGGGATTGCTGTATTGGAGTCAAAATTTCACTTTGAGATTAAAGATTGAGATTTTCTAACGGCTGGTAGCCTCATTCAAAGTAACAAATATTGAATTCAGACACACTGTGAAAGCCAAAGGCAAAGGTTATCACGCGCGAAAACGAAGCCTTTAATAAGTGACTGGTTTTAATTGTTTATGCAAATTTCCAAGATATTTTTTCTCTTTTTTCCAGGAACATGTTTCGTTCCGAAACAGTACATTTGCTTTTAAGAATTATTCTTGAGAGTTTCAAACCGCATTACTTCTTCTTAACGTCTAATATTTGCGATGAATATTTCGCTTTGCGAACACAAATCCGGCCAGATGCTTCAAGCTGTTAAACAGTCGCTAACCTGCATGCCAGAGACTTTTGATACGCGGTTACCGGTTTCGGTCAATTCTTTATAGTGAGCGGGGTGCCCACATTTGTCCAGCGCCCCCTCAAAATTCAAATGTTTGGCGGCCAAACATTCATGTTTGAACCCACTTTGAACCTATTTTCTCGTTACGTGTCCACGGTTGGACCCAGACGACGGTATCACAGTTCGCGGGTGTGCGTAGATGTCGCCGGAAGAGACAGTTGTCGTTCTAATACAATAGGTTGTTGGTTGCTTATATATTGATATAGCGAAGACCTCAATAAGCAGTTTTCGTAGAGTCGGAACCGCTTTCTTCGGCCAACTCCCACAAGGCAGGACCATTTTGCTCTTCAGCAGCTACTCTGACCAGATTTTTCCACGGAGAAATCTTCTGACTCGTCGACGAAAGTAATACCAAGTTTGCATGTCATATTGCTTGCTGTGCGTGATCAGAAGTAAAATGAAATACCCGCCAAGTTTAAAATTACAGAACGCCACTCTAACCGACCAATAAGGTGGCGTCCTTAAAATAACCACGCATTATGACACAGACCAAGAATAGATTGAAAATAATTTTCATGGGAAGAGGGTCATGTATGGGGGATTCGCTCTCTTAGATCATTCTCTCTTGATTCACCATAGCTGAGCTCCGCCATTTGATAAACCGTCCTTGATTCAAGCTAACAAAGGGCTTCCACTCAAAATGCCCGTCAGCTTTTCGATCCACGGTCTTTCAATGGTGGCAAGATGAGTTATTCAAATCAACCCATAACACCAGTGAGAGTTTTGCTTTCCACCCTTCGACCGACGTAGTAGAAAAGTTTCTTTTTAAAAAACCCTTCAAAATATTTTGGTGGAGATAATGATTGTCCGTCCCGAAAGCCCTGTACGAGATATGACGTCACAAGTGGCATTAGGTCAAGGCAAATATTCAAAAGCACACGTCGCATTTTTGGGACTGTGTATCTTAAAATGTCACAGAAAATTGTAACAAAGCAGAAGAAAAGCTTTGTTTCTATTGAAGTTTAATTCGTTTGAGTTTTCCGTGGACGATTTAAAGAAAGTTGGCCCATAAGGTATTCCCGGCTAGATTTTCAGTTTAACGTCGGTTAAGTAATCTTTCAATTCACATGGATTCCTTTTAAATACTGGGTAAAAATATTTCGCCTACCCAACTGATAGTGTTGAAATTGTTTCTGCTGACAAAACCGTTTCATGATCAGACGGAATTCATTACAATATTTTTGCAGCTTACAATGAAAAAGAGTCGTGAAAGTGATGTCGTTGAAAGCCTTAAGCCTCCTGTTCCTGAGAGGCCGAAATTGGTGTCCAAGAACCTGCAAACAAAAGATGTCCTGGATGAAAACCTGAAAGAAAAGAACAGGGAAAGAAATAATAAAGGAAGTGGAAAAGACGGTGGTTACCATTCCAGCGGGACGAAGGAAATTAAAATCGACCTGGACGACGTTGAAAGAGGAATTTTAATCAACGATGCTCCTCGATCTGAGATGAAACCTTCTTGCTTAAACCTGGGTTACGAAGATGACAAGGAGGAAGAAGAAAGTGACGATGTCAACACGTCATTTCATCAAAATGAACGGCGAAAGTGGTCGGTTACGTCGGTGATGGTGTTACCTTCGATCAGTATTGCCCATTTTTCCAAAGAAAAAGAGCTCACTCCCGCTGAGCCTTTGAGAAACGTCGAAGAAAAGATCACCATCGAGAAAGAAGAAGGCAGCTGTGAGGGCAAGGAAGATGATGAAGAAGACCTTTCTGGGAAAGAAGTTCTTTGTTATGCGTGGCAGATTGCTAAGGGGATGGTAAGAACTTTTTCGACTGAAGAATGTCTTTAGCAATTTAGTCATCGTTTGCAAATCACAAAAATCTGCCTCTTCCCCGTATTTAAAATACTTTACTACTAGTTTTTTCTGTGTCTGCAAGTATTATGCTATCTGGACATGAGACGGCAGATTTTTCAAGCATTCAAATTGCTGCGTTAATTATAACAGATTATTATAGGGCTAACTACTATCTCGCTGAATTTTTCGTGAAACATAGCACACATAAAATTGAGCCGTTTGATTTTAAAGAAGGTCAAAAACGAGTTTTTTTATATCCCGAGAAGCCTAAAAGTCACATGGAGCCGTCGTGAAGGTACCTATTGAAAAATCAGGTCTGTTAGTATTTTCGAAAAGGTGTCCAATGAATACAGCCATGCGACCTGAATAAGGCTAAGCTATCAGTTATTTAATTTGAATCGTACAAGCCTGACATTCAGGAACGTTGCCAGCTTTTTGGCTAGTTGTAGGCCTGGCTGACTTTCATTTCCATATATCCTGAAAATTGTACGCATGACCAGTACACACTGACGTCACCAACACTTTGAGCTCTTGTGTTTTTTCAGCTGACTCCAA